GTCTGCCAGGTCTTTCGGGAGTCGCTGGTTTGCTTATTAAAACTATTTTGGTAATAAGCTTGCTTAGCTGAGCGTATTTGCTTATTGACTATATTTCTTTGTTTCTTAAATAATGCCCAATCGTTAGGATCATTTGTCTTGCTAGCTTTGATTTTTAATATGTCTCTATTATGCATAAGGTCTTTCAATTCAGAGGTAATCCACGGAGAACTCCGTGAACGAACGCGCATCGTTTTCAGTGGGGCATGTTTGTCAGCGATAGCCAGAAATGTACATTTCCATTGCTGCCACATCACGTTTGGGTTGGAAGACTCGTATACATTATCCCAACATTGGAAGGGCGTCAGAGGATAAAAATGGCGAAGAATAGTAATCGCAGCTTTAGGTAGAAGCCTTTATCGCACACAACTTTTGTGTGTCATTAAGCTCAGTAATAGAATGATACAAATAGAAAAGGAACCATTATTTATGAAAGATCTAGATATTCGGCCAGGCTCTCTGGATGTAATTTTTTTATTTTTCATATGCTTTTACCTTTATCCTTTTTTCATACTATTCAATTCTTTTAGTGCATGAGATGTAGTCATTTTGTGTTTCGTTTACTTCCATGGACATCACAATGCTCGGGTCAAAATAAGCCTTTTTTAACTAGCTAAAATCCTGCGAATGATCTTTCTCACGTGAGCAAATATTTCTCATAGCCACGCACATATTCCTCACGTTCATTGGAAGAGCTCGTGACTTCTGCAAGTAGATGAAAAATAAATTGTTAAAAGTTCCTACTAAAAAAGGTTGGAGGAAAACGATTCACCTGCCGGGGGTTAAAACTAACCAGCTCTCAAATGCGAACACATTTTACTAGCTGGCTAGAAAAAACAGCCAGCGGAAAAATAATTTTACGACTTTCATGGCAGGTAACGCTTTCTAAGAAGAACAGAAGACTAAATTCAACAGAGAAATGAAATATGTCATAAGCAATTAAAAAAAGTACTCAGATAAAAGAAGTAAGTTTCTAAAGAACCTGTGGTGCTGCAGCGGTGGGGGAGTATAAAAAGCTAATTTGATAATTCGCCAGAGCGAATGACGAAGTGCTCACGCTCGAAACGTCTGCATTGAAACTCTTTTCTATAGCTAATTTACATTATAAAGTCAGTTGATAAAACCAAATTATTTAGTCAAATACTTAGATTTTCTTTTCTGTAGTTGTAATTAACAACATTTTACACTGAAGTGACGCCTGTATAGGATTTTGTTTTGTTGTGTTGAGAGGTTAAAAAAAAACACTTTTTACCTGCTACACCAAAAACAGTGAATCTTACCCTTCCGTTGCTTGAGCTAATGCCTCTGAGGTATTTAATTTCAATGACACAGCCAAACAAGATCAAAGCAAGTTGTTTAAATGGGAAAAGATTGCATTGCCAGAATGTGCCTTATTGCCAAAACAGTAGAAAGTTTGTGAAATATTTGTAAAACTTGGTGGCATCCGACAGACCCTAAAGCTATCGGGTCGAAGGACTCATTAATCTTAAGGTTTGTGGGATCTTCAAAAAGGGGAATTTGGTATAAATGATGTAAATAATGGTGTAAATGATATAAAACAAGCGATTTTATCGCATGTTGTCATTAAAACGTTTACTACCTGAAGGCTGAATAGCTCCTTGAATGAATTTAGTTGATAATCAAACTTTTTCTCTTTAAGTTAAGTAACAGTGATTATCTCAACCGAATTTCTGTTACTTGGATCACTATATTGATTGGCCAGAAAGTACTGATCATGGTGTCATTAAAAGGTTAGCATCGTAAATTGATAATAAACAGTTCAAAACAAGTCAAAATAAGGATTTACCAAGGCTGTTGATCTTTTTTTACCGGGGCACGATGGTGAATGGATATTGCACAGCTGGTAAACTGCGTCTGTCTCAAATATGAAGCAGGTAGCAAACAGCACAAAAATTACCAACGCGAACTTTGTTCCGGCCATTCGATAGAAGGGAAAGAAATTTGAAGTAAAACTCGGTGAGTGATTGTGCCAGAAAGGCTGTACTATCGATCTGAAAAAACATTTACTGCGGTCTTAAATTTATAGAAAGCTTTGCACACCTCTTTTAAGCTGAGGTTCTTCAACGAATGGATTTTTCTGAGGGCTTTTGTTTTTCAATTGTACTTGTATAAACTGCATTTTTGAAATTGGTTTCTCTGCCCGGAGCTACAGAAATTCTAAACTACTTTTAATCCACTTTACTAGAGCTATGAAATGCCAAAGGGAAAGAAAAATTGGACGGTACTTGCGGTCGCGTAATAATGTTAAAAATTGCCGCTATCCTTTTTTTTTGCTTTTGATATGAGTCTGCAGACTCTTAGTGATATAGTAATCTAGCGTGTACAAGGAAGAAAATGGTTTTGCTAAAATCCCGAAGTTTCTACGCCTCTGGATGATGAAAAAAATAAAAAAAAAACCTCAGCCAAAATCTGTGGCGGACTGTTGGAAAAAAAATTTAACACTTAATCATTCAAAAATGGGTACGTTTGCCGTAATACGGATTTTACGACCTCTACTTAAACTACCACATATGATGTTTCACTCAGCATCGACTCTTGGAAAAGCACCAGAAGATAATAATTGGCAAAGTATAGCAATACTTTAGGTGGAAAATATTATCGCGCGCATCATTTGTGTAGCGTCAAGCTGGTGGAGTGGTAAAACAAAAAATAAGGGGCCAAAACTATAGAGGGATCCAGTTCGAAGAAGCTCTCTAGTTTTTTTTTTTTTTTATTTCTCGTGTGCATTTGCCTATATGCATTTCTCATAACAACAGAGTTGTCTCTTTGAATGGAAAAAATTTAGTCATTTCGTCCTTCGTTTACTCCTTTCTCGGATTCAAATTCATTTTTAACTACAAATAGCATCTTGCATCTGATCTCTCTCAAGTGGGCAAATATTTATTGGCCTCCTTGAAGAATTGGAAGAAAACGAATCACTTGTCAGGGGTCAAAACTAACGAACTCTACAGGCCAAGCATAATTTACTTGCTAGCTAGGGAAACTTAATAATCAGGTCGCTGGAAGATGAAAGAAAAATAAAACAACAAATCGAGAAACAGCCCCAAGAAATATAAATAAAAGTATACCATTTCAAGGGATATGGATCAAATTGTAAATTGAAGGCACATCTCCGTGTAAACCACGAGAAAAGGAAATAAGATTGCGAACTTGTGTTTTAAGCGACAGTTTCGAGCGAGCGAATGCACTTAGATTATTGCAATTGATGTTTTCCGCAGGCGCAATAGAAATACAATACATGCGTTGCACACATTTGAAGTGTAAAGTGAACTGATTCTATGAGGTCTTACCCTCATATACTAGCTTCAGCAAGCAATTCCTTAAAATGGAAGTTATGTAAAGCCTTTCTCGTAAACATCTCAATGAGATGATCATCTTATTGAGAGTGCAAATGATGTAAACTACACTTCTTCTTTACGATATTTCACTTAAAGTTTAATAGAAAATGAAAAGCTGACGATACTCTAAGCGGAAAAGCTATGATCACCCAAAATATTTATTTGTGAGTCCCCTCAGCAAATCAACATCTAGCCACTCGAAACTTCTAACAAGACTGCCGCTTTATTTCATTTATGTGTCAAACGATGAAACGCAGGCAAATGCACAGCAAAAAGCTATCATCACGTGTAACCCTTATACAACAATCAAACATTGAGGGAAGGAGTTTTAAGAAAGTTACAGAGATTCAATCACGAGGAAATAATAAAGGAAACTCTGTTTTAGTGACGAACGCCCTTGCGATACCCCGATTAGTTTCGCAAGATCAACAGTCTTTTGAGGCGTCAATGCATTAATTCAGTAAATGTTTGAATTTGTTAAAGACCACTTTTTCAAGAGCGAAAAAGAGACAGCACTTAATTGGAGGTGGGAAAGAGACTGAGTGAGCGAGGATATTCCGACAAAATCTTTCATCAGAAGACCCCGGTGTGATTAATTTGAAAATAAAAAATGAAGCATTGTTGCCGTAGTTCCATTTTAATTAAACGTAGGTTTTCATCTGAATGCAATTCTCCTCTACTATAAAAGACCTTAGTCAGTAGTACGAGCTGGGAATCCTTGTGTTAAGGCTCTCTTTCAGTTTACAAACGTCATTCATGGTCTTACGCGTGTTTCTTCTTTCCCTCCGGAAATCTCCCATCGCCTGCAAGTAAACTGAATAGATAAATAAATAAAAAGCATGTAAGTATTGCCCTATGTCAGTCATGGTCATTGATGAAATTAGGCTCTGAGGTATCGACGACTTAGTTCTAAACGTGTTTTGTAAAGATCGTTATTTTCGCAGTCGCTTGTCATCTATTAATCATTCTATGCCCATTGATTGGTCTACTGTTTAAAGTCTACAACCTCGGTTATGCGGGTGAGGCTTAGTTTCCACTTCTTCGTATTGAGACGCTTTTGAATTTTTTTTCCTGGCTGGCAATATAGAGAAATCCCATACAACGAAAAGGAATGATATAAAATTACTAGAGATCTTAGCACCTTTTCCTTGTTCTTTTTCGATAAGCTGAAAAGCCTTTGGTAGGTGCATCAAGCAAGTTGCACATATTAGAACAAATACCGGTGCAAAAATCTTGCCTTCCACTTGATGATTAAAACACGAATGAAGCACAGTCGTTTCAGTTTGCCATGATACAGCCAATGCACTTCTGTGGAGAACTCAAGTCTAAAAGAAAACGCCTTTGAAGATCATTTTTTATAACAGAAAGAGTACCATCACGAAATGACTCTGACAGTTGATCATGAAAGAACTAAGGGAACAACATCGCCGTATTTGGCATTTAGCCATAAATACTCAGTTTGTATGTAGGGAAAGACTGGTAGTAATTTTGAGAAAGTCATTATTAAGTATTTTGAAAGTCATTATTCGTATAGTCATAAGCGTTTGAGCAGTACGATGGTTTCGACATCGCAGCAGTAGGCTGAATCTTGTGGCATATCGAATGTTTTGATGACCCGGCTCACCCACAAGTTTTCGGTATAACTCATGATCAGGTTTACAATATCGAGCCGCGAAATCGGAAGGGCTAAGGATTCGATTCCTCAGGGGATATTTTTGACCCACGCCTTGAGCCACGTCCTTGTAACGAAAGGAAAAACAACTTTCGCCATCGAAGTTTTTCGTTGATAAATTTCGTAGCAATAAAGTAGCGTCAGTGATTTTATGTATTCAAAAGATAGCTGACTATTGCAAGCTACGACTTTGCAATTTGATGATGATGATGAGTCATGTGGCTGTTAAAAGTATTTAATAGGATACAGAACTCAGCCATGAGTGAGACCAACCCATTTATAACAAACATTAACGTAATAACGTTGTAACGTACCGCTTAAATGGACAGTCTTCCATAACAATTTAAAGTGCCCCTGAGGTAAAATCTTCAGTCTTGCTTCAAATCGATGCATCAAACAAGCAACAAACTCAATTTACCCTTTAAAATATTTATAAAATACGACAAAATATATAAATCGTATTCTTTACTATCTGTGTGAGGGATTCTGAAACCTTAAATAATCACGAGGTTTTCTAAACTGAGAACCACCTTCTGTTCATTACAATCTGGCTAATAACAAAATAGCTTCGGGCGCGCTTAGATGCATCTAAGGATACAGGTCACTCGAACTAACAAACAGAAATAGAGAAGTGCTCCGTACGTGATGACTGAGACAAACAGTCAAAGTTTTAAGAAGAGTGGTAAGTGCCTGCGCTCGAACCAAGAATAGAAGAAATGCCGAAATAAAATTGACTTGGAAGACATGGAACTATCTGAGAATGACAACTACAGAAGCTATCATGTGGTGTTAACCATTAGCCGTAAAACGGAACAAAAATGTAGGCGTTAGGCATAAAATATTGACAAATTTTTAGCCATTATTCGCAAAAAATGTAGCCATGGAAATTTTTTCCATCTCCGAAGTGTGTCATTTTGAAAGCGTCAAAATGACTGTTATCAGGATATGTGTGTTTTCTCGTGGTCAATGCGAGAAAACAGAACATTACTTTATATCAACCCAAGAGCAGCTCGAACAGGAATTACCAATGGTGCTCGATTTCAATGGTGAAAGCGAACGAATACTGTTTAAAATTGATTTTTAACATTTCTCTTAACCTTAAAATGGCTAAGATGTTAGTTTTTAGTCATAAAAGCCATCACTCCATTAAGACCTTCTCATTACGCCAACGGATTCTGTATCTAACCGGCATGGGATAAATGAATTCAGTTTTATCCAGATATACTTCGTTCGCCCTGCTGTAATGCCATTCTTGAGGTATCTTTAAATCATTTTTTTCTTGATTTCAAGACAAAATGATCAATGAACCGATTATCACTCAAGAATTAAATAAGGTAGTTCAATCACCATTGCGAATTTTATTGAGAGCTAACTTTGTGTTCATGTCTCAAGATTTTTGATCACGAGTTATGTTTATATTCTATAACCTAATTAAAATCTTATGGAACAGAGATATTTCAGAAATCGAAAGAGATTTTCCGTTTAATTACGGCCTGGGTGGGGAACTGTGTGGTTGCTTTTTTCATCGCTTTGGACTCCTGATCAAATTAGTCGCAGATTTCGGGCCCCAGCCATCGATATGGCTGTGTACATGGATATGTACATGTTCTTACAGATGACATCTTATGTCGTGATGCCTTTTCCTAACTAAGAGTATAAGTTAGTGACAGCCGATTGTTAGGGAAACCGAACAAATTTCCGACCTGAATAAACTGCAGTGAAGGAAAAGCAATGGTCCCAGTAAGCTCTGGCAGATAATCTCCAGGGAAATACGAATGAGTCCTTTGTGTAAACTTTACTATAGTGTCGCTGTGATGTGATGGTAGACTGTCTGAAGTTGTCTATTAAATATTTACCTTTGATTTAATGTAATCAGTCACCTACAGATCTTAGGGATGCCTTCTCTTTGGAAGATAGAGATTAAGATCAGTGATCCAAGATCACTCGGATCATCCTTCGTCAAATTTCAGAATCGATCAATCGTTTTTCTGTATTGATTCATTGATTTCGCCAATGCATCATGATCTGAGTCATCTTGTATTTGGTGGATCAGGATCATATTAATGGGGACAATTGTTTTTTCCAAGTTTTTAAAATTTTCGTCGGCTATCTTCCATAAATCGAATTCTCTAAAATTACGAGACTAAAGCAGTCGTCCAGAGACCCTTTTTTCTTAAGATAGGTGAAAAAGAAGACATTCGACGTGAGCAATACAATTGTGGAAATTTGTCACCAAAGAACCGCAAAACGAAGTTCGGTGTTAAATAACACTAATCCAAATATTCGTTACGTGCGGGAAATTTTCTCTATTACTTGTCGTACGCGTATACACTCGAGGAGTGATTAAAATTTGAAAATTTTAAGAATTAAATTTCTTCAAAACTACCAGGGTTTTTCTCAGAATTATCGCAAGTTTCACATATATTCAATCATTCCCCTTTGAAAAATATGATTCAAAAGCGGATGATAAAAAAGTGGGTGATAAAAAAGCGGAACATTTGGTCTTAACCTGAATTTAAAAAAAATACTTATTGATCTGAAACTGTGAAAGCTTTCTTCGAAATGAATGATGTAATCTCAACAAATACATAATCTTAACATCATTAACAAATGTATAAGGTGCGAGTGTTTTGGTGAAAAATGTTTGATGGTGATTCAAAAGAGAGAGTACGGGCATCCAGGACACATTTTCAAGAAGTCGCTGGTTGTGAAAGACGAGACGCGAAAAAATGATTGACATGACGACGAACAAATTTTTGTTTTCGACGGCAAATTCTCTTAAAGATCAAGTTTTAAAGAAACAAATTAAACCCCATATCTGATCGGTATTCATTATTGATAAACACACGCAGTGTCCTAAATGAATGTTAATCACTAAAGGTGGGAGCAATCATTGGAGCAGAGGTACAAATCGACGCGCACTTTTCATCAGGGTGATTTCAGCGAGATAGAGCTTTTTAGCCAAGACCATGTTGTGACAGTGCTTAAAAGGAGGATTTCACCAGAGGTACTCCTCAGAGGAAATTAAGTGGTACGGTCAATTTACCCGCAGTAGCAGCAGCGATGTATCGCTACTATTATCTTCTAATTCAAGTATTCTTTTTGCTTGTTTCCCACGAGCAGTTGTCTTTTCTCGATAATGGTAGGTAACATATGGCGTACTTTCAATGCTTCTGACGAGCTCTCCGCGAGATACCAAAATTACAAACAGAACATGTTTTTTTAATCTAAATATTCGGAGCGTTTAATACTTTTAACAATTTCAACTTCCAACAATTTCTCGACACCTTTCTAAAATTGCAAGTAATTTTCCATTTACGTAAGCAGGGATTTAAAAAAGGGGTCTGCGTTTTAAAACTCGGAAAAGGAAAGTTAGTTCTATCCTGAATTCAACCGTGAATCACTGTAAAAAATATCTCATGTATACGTCTCTTTTAAATAACTAAGGTTTTCAACCAACCATTTCATCATTTAAGTTCGTAGAAGGAATTTAGTATGTACTGCTCTTAAAGAATCAAAAGACAACCACATACTTTTTTGTAATCTTACTGTTAAAAGAAGCTACAGGCCATTTTTTCCACAAGGAGGACGACTTGATACAATTCTTGTCTGTTTAAGGTTCCTATTGACACCCACATAAGACAATTATTTTTTCCACAGGAATTTATCGGATAGGATATAGTTCGTCTTCAGTTATTTCTCCATTACTGCATTACATTCAAGTTTAGCCAAATCGTAGCAATTCTCGCACTTCCCACTGTCAATATAAACGTTTTTTTAATTATTATCATCTAGCTGCTCGAAATCTAACAAAAAATGGAATTTTTCTAGTAAAATAATTAGCGATATACCTAAAACAATAATATACATCTTATCAGTCCTATTTAAGACGAATTTTAATTTATCTTGCCTTTGCGTGGGCGGTTCTGGGATACTAATTTTCCCTGAAGTTGAAGTTTAGAAATTATGATATTTTGACTGAGAAGAGAAATAATATACCGCAAATGAAAATCATCGACTCTATTTTAAACACTTATTGATCTTAAGATAATTTTTTCAACTTTCAGCTGAAAGAGTGGTTAGCCGCTTTTAAAATTTCATTTTAATTGCCTTTTACCCCTTTTTGAATAGGTCAGAAATGGTAAACCTTCATAAGCCCAAAATCAGGGAACGAAATACTGTTTTTACTACCTCCCACTGCGGGGTTATGACAACATTTTTGTGACCAATTCTCGGTCAATACAATGAAAATTTAATCAATTTTTGGGTAAGAGAGCACAAAGTATGACCAGTGAAGAAGAGTTGTATACCTCTTGCTGAACAAAGCAGGAATCAGCGGAAGTGTCTCAGGTTTTTCAGTTCTTTTTCTTTTAATGTATGTAAAATAAATCTCAGGTATTGTAACGAAAGTGTCCTTCCATTCGTGGCCTCCTTAACTCACTTATCCACATGATCTCTCACTCATTCACTTATTCTCTCACTCATGCACCCACTCAGTCACTCACTTACTCACTCGTTTAAGCATCAACTCATTTGACTCATCTATCCATCCATTCATTCATTAATTAATTCATTTATTCATATTTCCTCACGTTTATTACTTAATCGTACACGCATTACATACTCCACTCCTTGGTTGCTCGCTCAGAGAGCTTTGTTTTGTTGAAGTTGTAATTAACATTCTTTTCAGGAATGCTGTATCAAGTGAACGCCTTTGAAACCAAACGCACTTGCCAGGACGACCTGATGCAATTACATTGTTCGGCCCCTGAGGTGCTTAAGATCTATAGTGCAACCTACCATCGAACGAAAAGTGACAATTGCATAAGGAAAACTGAGTCTTGTGCTCCGGATGATAAGACAAGTTTGATAAGTAAGCATTGCAAAGGACGCACAGAGTGCAGTATCACAGTCGGTTTGAGTACCATGGGAGACAATTGTCCGAGCATGTCTGCCCTTAAGTATCTGAATGTCATTTATGGCTGCGGTAAGTAACGAATTCTCTCAATAAAACAATAATCAGTTTTAGTGGTAAGACAGCACGAAGTAGAACAAGTAGACAATACCTGTACACTTGAGATCTACTCTTGTTGGATAAGGCAAGAAACAAAATGAGGCGTTCCTAATTTGCAGATGCTTGTAATTTAAAGCTAAGGCTTTGTAAAGAAAGTATCCCATTGCCAGAAATTAGGGACAATATGGCGGAGGCGGTTCTCGTGTTACAAGCAAAATGGCGCCGAAACAGTATAAGAAAAGGGATGGGAAAAGATTGTTTTTTCAAAATAGCTGTCTAAGAATGGGATATTCATTCGCTGCGTGGTTGGAAATGCAGCCTGCATCGGTTAAAGCGTCCATCGCTACGAAAAAGAAATACTCAAATTCAAGCCTACCTTTTCCCAAGGTGTAAGAGTAAACTCATAATTCTGACTCCATTTTCCCATACAAACTCTTAAAATCTGCTTCGACTAGGTGTCATGGGAACAACCTTGTGAAGATTCGCAAATTCGTAGTTCGATATGAATTCTGCAGAAGTTTGCTCCACTAAATCGCTCGTAAACGGCGGAATATGTTGGCCCACAAATTTTCCTTGAGCCAGGAGACTCTTCGTATTTTCACAGAGCTCAAAAGCCCAATACGCCATTTTTAAATACCCCAATTTTAGGAAGGAAGAACACGAAAAATACAAGTCCCTGTAACTGCGCAATTTGGCCGCCATTTTTCTTGTTTTGACGTCTCCTTTGGCTTTCTGGGATAGTAAGGTACCAGACCTTTCTTTGGCAGGGTTTTACGAAAATAGAAAGTTACGTGTTCACTTCACTTCCACCGCAGCCATATTGAATTGTCTGTAATACGATATACCGCTGACATTTCGTAACGGGCTCGAAATGTCCCCGATTTCCGGTGATGCACCTATTCGTGGCATGATTCATTCACTTAATGACTCGCCCAAGCACTCACTCATTTACCCGTCCATATCATTTATTCATTCACTGGTGCATTCGTTCATTATTCATTCATGCATACATTCACTTAACCTTTTTTTCTGTTCAGAGAGCTTTTTCTTTGTTCAAGTTGTAGTTCATCTCCTTTTAGGACCGCCGCATAAGATGAGCGCCATCAAAACCAAATACACCTGCCAGGGTGACTCGCTGAACATAAGTTGCTCGGCCTCAGAAGTGCTCAAAATCTTTAAGGCAACCTACTTGCGAGAGGAAAACAAGAAAATTTGCACAGGGAGGAGGATGAGTAATGTCAACACTGCTGAACATTGTGCCCCAGATGATAAGACAAATTTGCTAAAAAAGCATTGTGAAGGACACTCAGAGTGTAATGTCACAGTAGATACGAGTACCATGGGAGACAAGTGCCAGTGGATGTCAAACCCTAAGGATCTGAATGTTAAATATGGCTGTGGTAAGTAATGAATTTCCACAATAAAACACCAAAATATCGTTGTTTATCTTACATCCTATTTACATCCTATCTATTTATCTGTTCTGAAATTAGAGGCGATATTCTGACATTACAGAATTATGATGAGCCGGTAAATGTTAGAGAAGTGGTATCTTCTTTTTTTTTTGCCTCGACATCTTTGAAAGAACTTGAGACCGATTTCTAAGAGCACAGGAACTTAAAGGAAAAGACCATATTTAAATATCTGTAACCCATATTGGGACTAGAGACAAAGGTGAAAAAGGATATCAACAAACCTTCCTAGAGACCCGAAGCTGAAACCAATTTAACGTCTGCAAAGATGTTCCCCCGCGCTAAGTCTATGCAGGCTAAAGTATCTGTCTGTTTAGGTATTGTGGAGGAATTACCACCCACGACCGAAGCCCCGTTTACGTTCGCGGAAAACAAGTCGACCATTGTATTAACAAAACCTTCCTCACCCTCTCCACCCTTCAACTACACTACTCAGCCCCCGCCGACTGCGATGACCCCGAGAATGTCCTATACAACATATCCTGGCGACGATAATGGAGAAGACGACTCCGCTGGCTATGGCTTTGTCATATTTAATACTGGATACAGCAACCAGATCTCTCATGTGATGATAGTCCTGCTATTTGGAGTAAATTTTCATTTTCAACTTCTGTAATTATGAAGTCACCGAGCAACCGCTGAATTCTACTCATGGGAATCTAAGCAAACGACAGACGAGCAGCCTGACGACCATCAAACGGGGATATTAAGTGGTCCAAAAATTTGGCGTCACTTTATTGTCTGTTTTGTAAAATAATCTTAGCGTATCGAATATTGCATATTTCTAATCAATCCAAGGTAATTCTGATCTTATGTCTATGAAAAAGTTGAATATCTTCTTCGAATAGAGGTTATAATCGCTTAACCCTTTATCTGCCAGAAGTCGTGGTCGTAATCGCTTAACCCTTTATCTGCCAGAAGTGATTAACATGTAACTTCTTCCTAGAATCATCCATACATCATGGATAATGGTAATGAGAATATTCAAACTCATCAGTTAGAAATTGTCACCTTGATCTAACAACAGATTTCCATAACTAAACTACAAGAAAATGTGTAGCAGCTGGAGTTGAAAATTAACAATCAGATCTCGGGAGTGAAAGGGTTAAATTCCTTGGGCCCGTTTCTTGAAAGTCGCGGTAACTTAACGGGCCTGAAGCCATGCTTTAAAAGCAAAGGCTAATGAATAGATAGGCAGATTCTGCCACCCTAACCAGTTCATTTCGTTTCTTCACCTGATACTTTTATCTTACTGGTATATTTCTCAAAACTTTTGAAACCCCTATCTTGAATGAAAACAGAGAGGCTTTCCGGGCCCGTTAAATTAAATTACCGGAACCTTCGCGAAACGGGCCTCAGAAAGAGTGGATAACGCCATTATTTATTTATTTATTTATTCATTTATTTATTTATAACAACTTTATTGTAATAATTAATACAAAAGGCTGCCATCAGAGAGGAACTGAATCCTCATGTAAGATGACGCCCAAAAATATCTACAAAGCTATGAAGGAAATATAAATCGGATAAAAAGTAGTTGTAAGGAAAAATGTAAAAAAATATCACCAAAATGTATCTATCAGAATGGAGTTATTAAAATTATCTAATCATCTAATTAAATATGCGATCGCAACAATTTTATATTCATCACACACTAGTTAAAAAGTGTTCTCTTAAGCCCTTTTTAAATTTTGACAATGAATCGGCACAAATTAGAGAATCTGGTAACGAGTTCCATTTATCTATATATCTGTGCCAGAAAGAGAAGTTTAAGATATTAGTTCTTGAAAAAGGTTTCCAAATCTTCCTACTATTTCTTGATCTAGTGCTAGCACGAGAGAACTATAAATACTTATCAAGCTTAACTCTCGAGAAACCATTAATAAACTTAAATAGTTGAATCATTGATAGATATTCCCTACGGGACTTAAGTTCCATTCAGCCAAGGGATTGCAGACGTTCGGTGTAATCAATAGGTCCAGCAAGGATCCAGCGTGAGACAATTCTTTGGATTCTTTCAAGTTTGTCTGACCGGTAGGCTTGATGTGGATTCCAAACGGCATATGCGTATTCGATGATAGGACGAACCATTGTTTTTTATCCACTTATTATTGCTTCAGAGCACCTGCCAAATGTGCGTTTTAGTAGACCCAAGATCCTGTTAGCTTTAGCAGCTATCGTAAGGACATGATTTTTCCAAGATAGATCAGATGAGATTGTTACATGCAGATGCTTGTGGGTGACTACTTGTTTCAAGGGTAAAGAGTTGATGGAAAACGAACACTGTCCATTAACCTTAGATCTTGTTATTCTCATGTACTTACATTTAGATTCACACACCTTTAAAGTACACCAGTTGGACATACAAAGTAAACCAGCTTGAATTGGAATTGAGACTTCATTGACGGTTGCTGAGTTGTGGAGTAAAGTATCATCTGCAAACATATCACTAGAATAAGGAACACATTCAGGGATTTCATTTACCTACAGTGAGAACAAAAAAGGCCCAAGAATACTCCCTTGGGGAACCCCTGAAAGTAGCCCAGCTGGAGGTGGAACCGTCAATAACGACCCGCTGACGTCTACTTGAAAGGAAGTCACACAGCCAATTTAGAATTTGTCCTTGTATACAATATTGACTGACTCTATGAATAAGACGGTTATGAGGTACCGAATCAAAACCCTTCGAAAAGTCTAAAAACACAACGTCAGTTGTTTTTCCATTGTCTAACGCTGAGGCCCAGGTACGGAACAGATGAATCAGTTGAGATGTGCATGATAATCCCGTTCTAAAACCATACTGGTGGACACTTAGTGGATTATGCTGATCAAAGAATGCTGAAATATGCCTTGCGATAGGTTTCTCCAGCACTTTAACCACAAGACATGTTAAGGAGATTGGTCGGTAGTTAGTTACAGTCTATTTAACTCCCTTCTTAAATACTGGCATGATGTTAGCAGATTTCCATTCATTGGGTAATTAGCCTAACTTCAGAGAAATGTTGAAAATCTTTGATAAATCCAGTGGATAAGTGCCAACAAAACGTACTGCGCTATTCATTGGAGGATATAGTGGGAAATGTATTCTAGAATGCATTCCATAAAGTTTGTCTTGATAAGAATTAAACTCACTCAAAATTTTGAAAGCTTTCTCCGAATGAATGATGTAATCTCAACAAATAGATAATCTTAACATCATCAACAAATGTATAAGGAGCAAGTGCTTTGGTGAAAAATGCTTGAAGGTGATTCAAAAGAGAGCATGGGCATCAATGGTATGTTTTCTGGTTGTAGAAGATGAGACGAGAAAAGTGATCCAAATAATGGCAGACAAATTTTCGATGTCAGTCGTAAATTATTTCAAAGATCAAGTTTTAAAGAAATGAATTGAACACCATATCTGATCGGTATTCATTATCAAAAACACACTCAGTGTCCTAATAAATTTTTATCACCAAAGGTTTGGTAAATCATTGGAGCGGAGGTCCAAATTGACGCGAAATTTTCATTAAGGTGATTTGAACAAGATGAAGCTTTTTAGCCTAGACCCTATTGCGACAGTACTTAAAAGAAAAATTCACCAGCGCTACTCAGAGGAAATCAAGTAGTAAGGTCAATTCATCCGCACTGAGAGCGATGCATCGCTATTATTATCTTCTGCTTCAAGGATTCTTTTTGCTTGTTTCCGACGAGGAATTTTCGTTTCTCAATAATGGTGAGTAACATATGGTAGACCTTTGATCCTTTGACTATCCGATGGACACCGAAATTACCAACAAAACATTATTTGTTTGATCTAAATTCTCGGACAGTTTAGCCCTTTTAACACCGGCAACTTCTCAACACACTACCAAAATTAAAAATAATTTCCTATTTACGTGACCAAAGTTTGTAAAAAGGGTTCAGCGTGTTAAACTCGGGCAGGCAAAGCTGCAGGTTCCATCATAGATTTGAGATTCTCTTTGAAAGGTTATATGGATACGACTATAGCCAAGGTCAGTTACCCAAACAATTCCATCCTTTCGGTTCGTAAATGGAAGTTGGTACATTGTTCTTAAAGAATCGAAATACAACCACTAACTTTTTTTTGTCATCTTGATGTTAAGGGAGACCATTAGCTATTTTTCCACAACGACGACAGAGACCTTCGTACACCTAAATGGTGATAATCATTTTTTTTTCTGAAGAAATGTATCATACAAGTTTCGTCTTCCGCTACTTCGACTTTGCTGAGATACATTCGAGTTAAGTTAAATCTTAAGAATTCTCTCACTTCCTCTCTTTGTTAAATGTCAACATAAAAGGTTGTTTTTTTTAGTTTTACTGTTAGAAATATTACTAAAATTTGAATTTTTCACGCAAATAATTAGCAATATATCTAAAACAGATATATATCTTACCGATCCTATGACTTTTTGTGGCTCTTTCTGGAATGCTGTTTTTCCCTTGAGTTGAAGCTAAGATAATTAAGATGTTTTGACTTAGGAAAGAAATAATCAAACCACAAATAAAAACCATCGACTCCATTAAGAATGCTCCATAGGGTTTTTCCCCGCGCCAGATCTGGAGGCGAACATAGCGCGAGATTTAAGAATATCTAATTTTCTAATCTCTCTTCTGAAGAGTGGTCGGCTCTAAAAAGTCTTAGAAAACGCAAAGACATAGTTATCAAAGCGGCCGATAAGGGCGGCTCAGTCGTTGTTTGGCGCACCGACCTCTACCAAAAAGAAGCTTTGCGGCAACTTTCTGACACCTCTTTTTATCAAAAGATCGACAAAGACCTCACTGCCAGCAATCAAAACTCCGTCAAGAATACGATCAACCAACTCATAACTAAACAAGAATTGCCGGCCACAGCAAA